GAGTGGAATTGCATTAAAATCTGGCTTTTAAAAGGAGCCATGCATCCTCCCAGCCAGGGCACGGTGCCAGGGCTCAGCAGAGGAGCTGTCCCTGCCTGCAAGGAGCTGGAGCAGTGTCTCACTCACAGGGCTTGGCACAGTGGGCAGCAGCACTGGCAGCCAGGAAGGAATTCAATAAACAGCTCTGTCCTTCTGGAGAGCTCTGAGGCTGGAGCAGGAGCACAGAGCTGGGTGCCCACAGCAGCCAGCACAGGCTGTGTAAAACCTGTGCCTGACCTCTGGTGAGGTCACTGCATCCTCCACAGAGAGCTCAGGGGTGGCTCAGGGAAATGGCACAGAGGACACACAGCCCTGGGCACGAGTGCCACTGGCTTGGGGGCAGTGCCCAAATGTCTGAGGGCAGCAGGGGGCAAGAGCTGAGCCTCCCCCAGGCTGCATCATTTGGCCCTAGAGGCCCTGACCCCTGTCAGTCAGAGCCCTTCTCCTCTGGGAGCAGAGAATCCTGGAATGGGCTGGGATAAACCTTAAATCCCATCCAGTGTTGATGCCTTGGGAAGGCTGAGTTAGAACAGAGGCTGGACAGAGCTCCAGAATAAAGCAGGGATTTATTCAAAGCATCTCCTCCATGGATCCACCTTGGGCAGCACCAGAGCCCAGCCAGGGCTGCACCCAAGATGAACCAAAATGGCCCCAAAATGCACGGCCGGGCACGGGCTCTGTCCCTGGGATCAGTTCTGCTCCATTTGCATCTTGCAGTTCATTGTCCCATTCCAGCTTTAGCCCCTGCAGTCCCACCCTGCTTGTTTTTCTCTCTCCAGCCCACGGGGTTTGTGCTCTGGGGCTGAGATTTGGATCATTTGTTGTTGTCATTTTATTTCACAAGTTCCATACATTTTTTGGTGATTTCTCATGGGCATCCCCTCACAGTACTGACTCCTTCTTCAGCACAGCCAACAACCTCCAACTCTCCCCTCACCCAGCTAAGCCACATTTTGTAGCCCTCGTCTTTTTATTGGACACAGCTGTGGCCTATTAAGGGCAGGCCTGTTCCTAATCTTTGGTGATTGGTACAGCTGCAACTCCTCAGGTGTGAGGCTGCCTTCTGCACTATTCTCTTACATTCTGTCCCTCCACAATTTGTCCTTGGTCCCCAGAAGGAGTTGGAATTGTGAGAAGGAGTTGTTTTGTCTCCCTGCTCTGTGCACAGAGCTCACCATCCTCTGATGTGAAGCCCAGACCCACACACTAAAGCAGCACAGAATGTGAAACACAGAAAAGCCAAACCTGAGGCATCGTTTCCCCTCAGATGCCTCAGGGTGACCCCCTACCACGGGCAGGGACAGCTGATGCTATCCCTGGTGGCTCCAAGCCCTGCCCAGCCTGGCCTTGGACACTCCAGGGATGGGGCAATCACCTGACACCCAGTTTTGGGGGGATTAGAGATCTCCATGGCAGACAAATGCCCAGAATCAGTCAGGTGCATCCACAGCAGCTCCCCTGTGCCTCTGCGGGTGAGATGAAGGGTTTGGCTGTGTCCCCTTGCAGCAGTGAGAGCACACAGGGAATGACCCGAGGAATGAACTTCCTGCTTTCTGTGTTTCTTCTCTCTTGGTGTCCTGCTGGGATTTTCTATTATCACCGAGTCAGCAGCAGGTTTGTGTGCTGGGATTGTGATTGATTTCCAGCTCGCACCTTGCAGTGGGCTGAAAGCAAACCATGCTGGCTCTTGGCTCTCTTGATATTCTTGAAAGCAAGGAAAAAAAAACCCAAAAATATTGAGTTTGGAACAAAATATCCCAGCAGCTTTCTCCAGCAAAGCCGTGCTGAGGTTTCACTGGGAGCATCCCAGGAGGAAACGAGATTTTGAGCCTTTCCTTTATCAGGAGCTGTGGTTTTACAACTTTTGGGGTTATGCCAATGGACAGGTTGAGGTGTGTTCATTCATTTTCTATTTGATCCCTTAGCAAAGTCTCACAATGCCAATTTAAAACACTTTGGGCTGGACTATTGGGCTGGAAGAAGGAATTATCATGTTTGAAAGCTTAGGGGCTTATTAACCTCATAAACTTGCAAGGTTTGATAGGCTCAGCTGTGAGTTTTGTGTTCTTCCATATGATTTTTGGGGGAAAACCAAAGGAAAGCAGCATTGAGGTTCAATACAGCATTCCTCCAACAAGGCAAGCAGGAGGGATATTGTTGCTGATTCTGCTGCTGGTTTATTCTGAGAAAATACAAATTTTATGGATGCCTGGAGGTTTTATTGTGGTTCTTAATGATTCATTTGACCTCTGATGGCTGCCAGTGAACCCAGCCTGGGAGCAGAGCCTCTGCAGACAGAGCAGGAGACAGAAATGTCAATTGCCACTTGTTCTGTTCAACCTGATTCCTCCAAACCTGAAGTGGGAATATCTGGAACGGAGCTAAATCTCCATCTGTGCTTCAAGCACGCAAATCACAGGTGTGTGGTGTTAAACTGCATCCTGAAAATCTGGGAAAAAAGAACCTCCAAGGAGGGAGGAGCAAATGAGAGGTTGGAATGTTCAGGAAATATTTTTGTGCATGTCTGAGGGGTGGGCAAAGCCCTTGGGCCCTGTGGTGATGTCTCAGTGACTCCTGCCTTGGTACCACCTGCATCTCCAGGGGAGGTTCTGGTTGGATATTGGGGACATCTCTTCCCAAACAGGTCTGTCCAGCCCTGGCAGGGGTGGAGTTCCAGTCCTGAGGGATTTAAAGCCCTGTGGATGTGGCACTTGGGGACGTGGGGCAGTGCTGGAGGATGGCTGGACTCAGTCTCAGGGGGCTTTTCCAAGCCAAACTATTCCGTGATCCTGTGGTTCTTCAGTTCCAAAGCAATTTGTGGTTTCTCACCTGGTCAAAACCCCTTTCTTTTAGAGGGATGTGAGAAAGGTGAGGATAGGAGGGACTGACCAGGCCCAATGGGAGATCAAACAACTCACCATTTTAAAAATTAAGTCAATAATGCAGCAAAGTTCACCCAGAGAGTCTCAGGATGAACCTGGAAACCCTGAGCTTTGATCACCAACCTGTTCTGGCCCCTCACCTTCCACAAAAAGTGTTGTGTGAAGGTTAATTTCAGATTAAAACAGAGTTGGACTAAATGCAGCCACAATGAGAGCTGGGCTGAGCAGTGCCCAGGCAGAATCCAGCCCAAAGTGCTTTTCTGTGCAGCAGGAACATGACCCAATCCTCTTATCCTTGGGCTTGGAGGTCCTGGATGAGGGGGAGTGGGAGGTTCCATTCAAAGACAGGATTTGCTCTCTCAAGAAGGCTGGAAATGCAATAGTCACCTGTTCTGCTGATGGCTTTATAAAGAGTTTAAAGCTGCAGGCTTTAAATGAGGCAAATTTTATGCTCATTTCAGCCCTCATGGGCCTGGAGAATCCCAGAGAGCTTCACCAGCAACCACAATTCTTTTAAAACCACTTTTTCTTTTTAGAAAGTCATTTCAGAGTCTTGGATTTTCTCAACCTCGACATGATCAGCACCACCATGATGAGGGAGAAATGGCCAACCACAGGCAGAGATCACATCAGGAGTTTTTGTTTAAAACTCCTAAAGGTTCTCCCATGCCACTGGGTTTCTCCTCACAGTTCTCTGGCTCCTGGAATGAAATGCACTTTATCAGGAGACTGAATCACAGCATCATGGGATCATTATGGTTGGAAAAGACCTTTCCAGATCGTCAAAATGAGCTGAAATATTGCAGTGAAATTTGGCATCATTTATAGCAGCTCAGCCTCCCCACCAAAGACTCACACCAAGGTCCCTTCTGGAGCCCTTCTCTGCTGATTTTTCAGTGTAAACACTAAAGGAAATGCAGCATTTGGGGTTTGTGCCTCACTGTGTGCACGTCTGACACTCTGTGGTTGTCAAAAAATGATCCTCAGTGTTTTCTTTCAAACCCTGGAATGGTTGAAGTTGGAAAAGCTCTCAGATCAGCGAGTCCAAGCATTAACCCAGCATTTTTTTGTAGATGTGGTGCTCATTCTCAGAAAAAAATAAATGGAATTTAATGTTATTCAGCATTCCCTGTGCAGCCCAACATTCCCAGACCTTGTGGGATTCAGCACTTTCACACCAATCTGCATAAATAAACCAAAGAATCCCCTAAAATACTGCACCATTAAATTTGTTGCAGCAACAAATGATGCTCTTAGACATGAAACATTTGCTGTGTTGCTGGAGATTACCAGAGTTTATTAATGAGATTAACAGAGTTTATTGGTCCTATAGAAGTTTGGGTAGGCTAAACTTAGTGTGGACTGAGATATGGCTGCATAGTAGAAATTAATTTCCAAAGAATTTTAATTGTCAGGAAAAAAAATTCATTTGGTGTATTTAGAACTAAGCACGTAAAAAAATAATGCTGGGGTAGAAAGATAGAAAAAAAAATATTCTTTGTATTGGGCTGTTTTGAGTATAATAAGACTCTTTGAGGAGTCTTATTATTTTTTTTTTACTTAAAATGCACTTTTAATGTTTCTCCCTCACTGCCAGGCTTTGCAAGGTCTCCACCTGATATATTGGAAGTGGCAACAAACTCTTGAGATGGATTTTTGAAATCTTTAGACCTCTGACCAGGCTTGCAGTGATGACACAGAGGTAACAATAAAACCACTTGAGTGACATTTAATGGGACACTTTAAATGAAATCCCCGGGGTTGGTGATGGCAGCTGAGCGTGTTCTTGCCATTTTCCCATTTAACAAGAAGAAAAGGCCAAACAAGGAGCAATTAGTCAGAATAAAATCAGCTTTGATGACATTTTCCCTCCTGAACTCTGGTATAAAATGGTCACCTGAGGAAGAACTGAAAGGATATGTGAGGAATTTGGATGTGGAGCTGCATGTTCACACACACAGTGCTGGGTAAAAAATGAGCAGGTAAAGCCACTGCGGGGTTCTTGGTGCATGGGGTGCTCTCTGTTCATATTTTGCTTGGTTTTGGTCCAAATTTTCATTAATCTCAGCTTTTCTTTGAAGACTGTGCAGGTTAAACTTGGTTTTCATCCTGTGGATCTCCATGACATTGGTGTGCTCGGGTTTCCCAGTTGGCCCTTCCATGGTAAGTCCCATTCTCCAATTACTCCCAGATCTGTTTCATTCCTCTTAAATTACTTCTTTATTTAAATTAATTTTGTTTGCTTGGTTGCTTCTTTGCTGCTGTGTTTTTTATTTTTTATAAAACAAAAGGGCTTTCTTGTATTAAAGCTATTGGTTAAATATTATTACCTAATTTTCCTGGAGCATAGCCTAATTTTTCCTGGTGTTATTAATAAAATATGCAAGCCTCTGAAATAATCATGTGAGCAACTCAGTGCATATTTAATGTGGAGTGTGGGGAGCTGAAATCCTGGATGGAAGAGAGAAAATCACAAATCTCCTCTCCATTTAATCTGAATTCCTTGCATATCTCAAAGACGTGCAATTAGATGTATATGTATTAATTTCACTTATTGCTAGTGAGTTTATCAATTAATTAACTTATTTATAATCAACTGATTTATTTAGACACAGCTGGATGTGAGTAGCCACATTTCCTAATGGATGGGTTCTCTTTATGGTGATGATATCATGGTTAAAAGGACTTTAATTGCTTCAATAAATGTCATAATAAAAGTTATTTGTTCAGGAAATCTAGTGTAATAGCAGCTAAAAATTCAAAAGGAGAATTTCTCTCTGCCTGTTTTTTTGGTTTTTATAGGTTTTTTTTTCCTTGCAAAAAGTGTTTTTTCATGTTAGGGAGAAAATTCAGTCTGGGAAGCGCCTTGTCAGTGGCAGAAAGTGTTGGTTGCAGAAAAAGTCATTAAACAAACAAAAAATTAACTTAATAACCAGTATTAAAAAAGAGCAATAAAACACTGAATTAAAACAAATCCTAATTAAGTTTTACCAGCAATTCCAGGTGTTAATCCTATGGCTTTGCATGGAATTTTTAGAGATTACAGAATATGACTTTAAGATGGAAAATCAGCTGAGAAATCAGGATATGGTGAAATACACACAGAGCAACCACAGACATGCCAGGAAATGGTTTTATTTTATAATTCAACAGTAATTAAATGCAGTTTATTTTAAGGGCTGTTGAAATATGTGAAAGTTTTTATGTAGTTGGCATTTTTTTGTCCTATAGAGTGCAAGTAAAAGGAATGTGTGCAAAACCCTGGATTTTTGTCCAAGCCTGGGTTTTTATGCAGACTTTTTAAAATTCCCATTACTATTTTGTCATTATTAAACTTATTCAGAACTACTTCCAGAATTGGTCATAACTACTCGAAAGCATCCTCCAAATTTTAGCTTTACAGCTATTTTTGTTTTCTCTCACCTGTAATTTCAGGTTCAGATGTTCACACAGGTTATACAAAACTGGTGTTTCATTTTTCCCTGAAAAAATCTCATTTTCCAGCAATAAACACCTGTGTTGTTCCAAGGAAACTATGTCACAGCTGGTCAGCATCACAGAAAACAATTCATATCATACCCTAAACGCAATTGTATCAGTATTTTAGTCCAGAAATGTATTAAAAACAATGAAAAAATCTGATTTTGAACACGATAAATCCTTAGAAAATAACAGCTCATCTCTGCCATTCAAAGCATAAATTGCTTTTGTGTTTCTACTTTGCTCTGTATCCTGCACAAGTCCTGGCAAATACACAAATCCATAATTTTACCTTCTCTTATCTCTTTTTTTGTTTTCCCCCTCCTTGTTTGTTTGTTTGCCTTTAATCTCCAGAGCACCAACCCCTTTTATTTGACCTGCCAGCTGTATGGGAGATGGGATTCGTGCCTGGTGCTGCTGAGCAGCTGCCTGTCCAAGGTGGGCAGGGGTGAGGAGCTGCCCCTTGGGAAGCCTCTCCCGGAGTCCCCTCTCCACAAAAGGTCCTTCCGCAACGGCGTCGGAGCGGGAATTAAAAAAACTTCCTTCCGAAGGGCAAAGTCCTGAGCAAGTGTCCCAAAGCCCGGCCCAGGTTTTGACATCGGATGTTCCAGTCCTTGCTTTGAGTTCCTTTTGGTGTTTTTCTCTGACGAGGCCTCCTCTGACAGAGTCCCCAATGTCGCTCCCCGAGCGCCGCGAGCCGAGCGGAGCAGACGGGAGCGCTCGGGAAGGGCTTTGCTCCCAAAGTCACAATGGCATAAAGTTTTGTCTCGAAATGAATGTTTTCATTTGCTTAATTTCCCTCCTTTGTCAGAGGTTTTAATCAAGCTGCTCTTTGATTCATACAAAGATAATCCCGCGCTTTGAGGAGATGCGTGCGCGCAGCCTGTGGGGAGGACGGAGGATTCCCAAAATCCCTCCTCTCTGCCAGGCATGAGGCATTCCTGAGCTTTCCCATCCCAAATCACATTTACTTGAAGGCAACTGGTAATTTAAATAGAGATTTAAAGTACACTTCATTTCAGGTTTCCAGTGATATGAAGGGCCACTGGTGAAACAATCAGGCCCTACTTGTAACTTCCACTGGCGTTTTAATATAGTTATTTAAAATGACTTTGGCAGGAAACAGTCTCTGGAGATGTCTCATCTCATATCCAGAAGAATCTTGGGAAATCACTTTAAGGCAGGGTATCAGCACCATTCCCTGTGCCTCAATTAATTGACTTAGGTAGGCAACACTCAACTGATGAAATGTGCCAAATCTAGGATTTTTTTTTAATTTCCTGTTGGAAAAAAAAATAAAACAAGGAAAAAGTCAATTGATGTGAAATATGTAAATGTGGTGTGGAGGAAAGGTCACACACGTGTGAGTTTTACTTGTGGCTGTGTCCCCTGAGTGTAACAAGCTGTGCCCTTGGCTTGACAATGTGGCAGAGTGTCTCTGCAATGCCTTTTGCAGTCAAAGCTGTGATACTAATTATAATAAATCACTCTGTGGATGTTTTCTAATATTTCCCTGTCAAATATCGTGGCTCAGGAGATTGTTTTTAACCCTACAGTGAGGTGGTTTGTTGTCATCACCTCTGTGATGCCCTCCCTGAGCTCATGGGGTAAAGTGAGCCCAGCATGGAGCTGTGCTGGTGGGACAGCAGGTTTTTCTGGATGATTTCTGGCTGATCCAAGGAGATCAAACACATTCCTGCCTGTCTTTGTCCAGGCTGAAAAGTTTAACACATCCTGGGTGTTAAAATCGCTTAAATACTTGAGTTCTTTTGGGGTCACCTTGAGTTTGCTGAGTTGAATGGAAACCATGGAACCAAGGAACCATGAAATCCTAGGAACCATGGAACCCAGGAACCATGGAACCAAGGAACCATGAAATCCTGGGAACTATGGAACCCAGGAACAATAAAATCTTAGGAACCATGAAATCCTAGGAACCATGGAACCCAGGAACCATGAAATCCTAGGAACTATGGAACCCAGGAACAATAAAATCTTAGGAACCATGGAACCCAGGAACCATGGAACCCAGGAACCATGGAACCAAGGAACCATGAAATCCTGGGAACTATGGAACCCAGGAACAATAAAATCTTAGGCACCATGAAATCCCAGGAGCCATGGAACCAAGGAACCATGAAATCCTAGGAACCATGGAACTCAGGAACCATGAAATCCTAGGAACCATGAAATCCTGGGAACCATGGAACCCAGGAACCATGGAAAATGCCCAAGGATATTGATTATCCTTGGGTACTATCAGATGGGAGCAAGCCCAGGGTGGCACCGTGGTGACACTGCAGCTGGTCATGGCCCTGGGTCACTCCTGGCTGCTGGCATTTCAGCCATGCCAGATGTCCTGCAAATTTTCCATCCCAAACACTCTCCAGGTCTCTCCAGGACTCCCCAGGGAGCAGAACTTCACTGCCTTTGGCCATGGAAAAAATGAAGGGCTGGGAATGATTCCTGGCTGGTGACAGAAGCAAAACCAGTTCCTGAGGGCACAGGTTGTCAGTGGAAGCTGGGGCTGCCCCTGGATCCCTGGAGGTGTCCAAGGCCAGGCTGGACAATGGACCTGGGAGCAGCCTGGGATAGTGGAAGGTGTCCCTGCCATGGCAGGGGTGGAATGGGATGAGCTTTAAGGTCCCTTCAATCCAAACCAGTCTGTGATCCCATGATTCCATAATTCCATGAATGCATTCTGCATCTGCACACAGCTGTGGGGATGGAGGTGTTTTGTCCCAGGGCAGAGCTCTGTCCTGCTCATATCCCCACCCAAACCATCTTTCAGGAAAGCAAAAAAACCCAAATGAATTCAGATTTACCTTTGTTTGGATTTTGAGATCTGTTTTTGCTAACATTTTCCTACATAATGAATATGTTCCTGCCTTGGTAACCTGGGATGAGCAAGGTTGTCTTTAAGCCAAGAGAGCTCTACATGGAGCTTGGGAAATCAGGCTCTTCCCTTTCATTTATTGAGCAGGAATGAGAGTAACTCATTTAGTGTTTTGGCATTTGTCTTTGGGCAGGGCATGTTCCAGAGGGCTGCAGAGCTGCTGTCCTGCTCCCACAGACCTTCATCCCCTTTTATACAAAAAACAAGGGATGCAAGAAAAATTGGCTGTTGGGAAAATCCCATTCTTTATGATTTAGCCAGTCCCTGACAGGCCACACTCCAGCTGGAGGGATCTGCATGTAAAAAACCATGGGACCAGGAGGCCACCAAGAGCCATAAGTCACCTAAATCACCTAAACCAGGGCAAGCCTGGAAAATGTGGATTGTCCAGCTGCCTTTCAGGAGTTCTGTCACTGGAGGGCTGCTCTGGCCATCACCACCCACAGAAGACTCCGCAATGCTGAACGCATCTCTGAACTTTAAAGGTGGCTTTGTTTTGGAGAGAACAGAGAGTGACCTCAGTGATCTCTGTCAGGAAATAAGGATCTGAGGGGGCCATTGCCAGGCACATTAATTTTTATGCTGACAGGAACTGGAAATGTGGCAGAAAATGTCTTTTTTTCAGTAATAAGTGAACAATGGGAACAACTATAGGGGTGCCAACCTGCACCATAATTAATGTGTTGTCATTAATTTTATTTCTTTGTGGAGAGCAGGGATTCGTGATGCTGTGAGAAGATAATTTGTGAATTCCTTTACTTTTTTTCTTGGCTAGCATAACAGAAAGGGAAAAGATCAAAGAGTTCAGAGAGTGGGAAGAGGGATGCTTTGTGTGGGGATTGAGGAGCAAGTTGGGAAGTTGGGAATGCTCTGGCCAGTCTTGGCTGAGTAATTCAGTCTGTGACTTTGGAAAAATAATTTCTACTCAATTTTCCCATCTGAAAAATAAGGAACTACCTTCATTGAGCCATCCTAACTGAGCAGTGTCATGGCTGATGGATTTGGGAAGAGTTTTGGGACAGAAAAGGGTGGTTTCAATAGCGGGAAAGGCTGAGGGAGAGGACATGAAGAATTCCTGAATCCATAAGGATTTTTTTCCTTGCTTTGCTCTCTAACTTGTATCTACCTCTGGAAGCTTTAGACATAAATTTCCAGTGATGATTCCTTGTTTTTGATCTGTGAGAACCATTCCTGAGCTCAGCAATCACTGTTTGGAGCAGCCAAACTCGATTCAGCCAGTTTTGATTCTAGTTCAAACTAGAAACCAGATTTCCCTAGATTTACTGAATAAATTACTTTTATTTTCACATTTATTGAAGAATTCAACTCCTTTTAACTGTGATATCATTGCCATAAAGAGAATGGATGGGTTGCCATTGCCATAAAGCCATGCCATTGCCATAAAGAGAACCCATCCATTAGGAAATGTGGCTACTCAGATCCAGCTGTGTCTAAATAAATTGATAATAAATAAGTTAATGAATTTATAAACTGGCCTGTGCTGGGCCCTGGGGTTGGGCTGATGCTACCTTGAGGTTGTGGGAGCTGTATTCCCATCCCATCCCATCCCATCCCATCCCATCCCCACATCTGGAATGGCACCTCCCAAGGAGCAGGATGTGTCACCTGCTTCTCCTCTGCTCCCCAAAAACCATCTCTGCCTTTGAAGGAGGTTTGAGGTTCCCACTGGTGAACCTGAAGAGAACAAATCCCATAAAACACCACCAACAAAATCTGCCCAAAGACAGGAAGAGGAATTAACACTTTTCTTCTTCTTCTTCTTCACAGATTATTGGCAAGGAAGGCAATTAAATAGCCTGATGTAATAGCACCTAATTAACTTGCAAGCCTGAAACTTCCCTCGTTGTAATGACATCCCAATACTCAGGTTTCTGATTGCCCAGCACATATTAAAGTATGGATATCACATTTAGGTTTCCTAATTTGCTATTATTTGCCTGTATGTGGTAATTTATTCCCTGAAAATACCAAGTGGAAGAAAGGGAGAAGTCTCTTGCTGCTTTTAACTCTGGATATAATTTTGACCTTAAGAAAGAACAAGACAGATATGAGAGAGTATATTAGATGTTATTATTACCATAATAAAAGAGAGATAAAAATCATCGTGCAGAAAGGCTCTAAGACAACTATTAACCATTTGTCATATAAAGAAAATCAAAATTTAACTTATCAGAGAGTCTGGCACTTTAAAGATTCATCATGAAAAATTACTTTGAAGCATGGAGCATTTATGCAGAATGTCACTGATGAGCTGTCTGCTTAAATGTTGAAAGAGTTTGGGGAAAGATTGAAAAAATGTCAAAGATATGCCTTGTATAAGTCTCACCATATTGAAATTTATTTTTGGGGGTGAAGCAGCAGGGCAGGACTTTTTCCTTTAAGGAAGCAAACTGGAATTCACTCTCCTACCCCAATGGGCCATGGCTGGTGAGAACAACTGAGGGCAGGATGAACCTTGGTGACTGGGAAAGGGACACAGCTGAATATCAAACATCATAATGTCTGGGGCTGGGCTACAGAGCAATTCTTGGGGTTAGGGCAATTTTTCTGTCTTTGTGGAGAGAGGCAGAATTTTTCTTCTAATTCCTTCCCAGATTTGAAGTCACTGGGTTGATGATGCTGGAAAAGAAGGCAATCTTAAAAGCTT